GCGCCCGGTAGCCAACTCGGCCACTGTACACCCCAGCCCCCACATGTCAACCGGGAAAGATGACATGTGGCCCAGGTATGCCTCTGGGGCAAGGTACGCAGGGGAACCAAAAATCTGTGAACCTGTGAATTACAAAATACAAACATAACCAATATAACCTTTAACAGCAACACACAGGCACGAAAAAACATGTATACAAACACATGTACTCACCCATAGGTCTAGACACATGCACACACAGGTGAAGAGACGCAAACACGTGTGCACACACACAAAACGTCCCCATATAGCCTTTAACAAATTTATCTGGCATTTGCTTTTAGCGAGCACCTAATGAAGGCCTGAACAACACACACGAAGATGGGTGGCCAGCACCACGCCCAGCCACCTTTGTCTTCTAAACTGGTGGTGCCTAGACACCGCACATGGTACTCATTTATGGCTGAGTCAACCTAGGGGAGGCCCAGGACTGGTTCAGATATTCATGAACGCAAATTTTACTACAGTCACCAGGATTGTAGTGCTGTCGACTAACCCCAACACTACGGTTCCTCACTGCATAAACAAAGAAAAGTTCCCCCGTGTAGCCTTAGACATTGTTGGGGCAGGTGCAATTAGTGACCACCTATGAAGTCCAAAACGACACTTGAGGGGGGTGGGTGGCCTGCACCATGCCTTTGTCTCCTGAGTGGCATTGTTTACACACCACACCAGGTACTCATTTGAGACTGAGTCTACCTAGGGGAGGCTCACAACCAGTTCAGAAAATCGCCACTCTCACCTGGGTCACCAGTTTCGTAATGCAGTGTGCTAACCACTACACTACCGCTCCTTGAACTGCATACACACACATTCTCATACTCAGCCACACACTCACGACTCACGTTGGCGTCCCACCAAAAAGCTGTTTTCAAAACTCATCATCCGGATGGTCCCTGCCCCAGGCTCTTTAATCGACATGTTCCTCTAGACGATAGGCAGCAGAAGATATTCACATTCAGAGGTCATGATAAATAATGTCAACTTGTATACGCCAATGCCATGCAGTATTCACTCTATCTGGAAGAGAGAGAACCACTCCGAGGCACGAGGAGGGGCCACAGATGATGTTTCACACCATTGGTGTGATCCACCAACCTGCGGCTCTACAGTGCTGGATTACAGGCATGCACAACTATTCAGCCTGCAGCAGATTGGTCATGTAGCAAAATACCACAATAAATATTAAAAGGGGAATCTGAGATGACACGCTTTTGCCAAGGTTATTCATCGCAACTCAAGAGAATGTTTTCTGACGGATGCCACTGGGGTGCCCTTTCAAATGTATTTAGATGAGATTATTCCAATCTCTAATCTCATATAGAGCACTCTGGGGTGCCCGGCGTAAAGGAGGGCGCTCTTATCATACCTGTATGACGATTGTTACAAGAGGGCCGAACGGAGCTTGTAGCTGTGAGTGTTAGTTAGGCAGAAGCATGCACATGCATGAAGTTGGTAATGCATTCTCATGCGCATGAGCAGCATGGAAACAGGTGGGCAGCTGTCAGGTTAAAGCACAGTTGCTTAATTTCAAAGCGTCCTTTTACTTGCACTGGTTTGTGTCTCCATGATTTGGGCAATGCTTTGTTTCGACATGTCTGCTTTTCTCTAGTGCGAGTCCCTAATAGCAACAAAACTTTAAACTCAAGTTTCACCCATATATAACCCTCTGTACAGTTATCATGACCCGCAGCTACTGACAGTTGGACAGAGCAGATGCATTAACGCTTTGATCAATGGGTATAGGTTCTACGAAGACGAGCCCCGAACGGGAACTCAAATTAATGTTGCAGTTGTGCGGAACCTGGTGTCCACTCACCGGCTGGATATCCCCATGCACGATTCCCTTTGCATGGAGATGAATGAGGAATTTGAGGATGGACTTGGTGAAGAGTTTCACCATTGTCATCTCAATGTGCTGGGGTGCCGTGCAATCAATGGCACTTAACAGACGTCTTCTGTTAAGGAGACAACAACACAAAGTCAGTGCCATCCTTTAAAGGGCTGAGTAAGCAATAAAAATTATTAACAATTATTATACTCGTTTATCCATGGAAGCCTCACTAAATGTAAACACTTTTTTCCTGAGGGTCCTGCCAAGTTTCTCCTGTCGGGGTGACATTGTTCCGATGTGTAATCCCAACTGAGTTATTTTTAAGGTATTTTCTCAGCACTGGCAAATTTGGCCGATGCCAATTAAATTATGTGCGAGTGTTTCGCTATTGGAGGAATGTGGAGAATGGGGATAAATTCCATGCAGAACAAGTGGAGAACAAACTCCACACAGACACTTATCCGAGTCAGCAATCGAACCCAAGCTCTTGGAATGATGCACGAGTGTTACCACTGCCGTCACACTGACGGTTGTCGGTGTGGCTATCGAAAAATTAGCAAGGCTGGAGAAGAAAATGGAGTGGAGCAGCCAGCTTTACATGTCTCTGCTCAGACAGCAGGGTACGTACTTCGGTATGAGCTGCATGACGAGGCAGTTGTGACCCCTGAAGGTGAAAAAGTCGAGGATTCTGACAACGTTGACATCATCATTGGCCCAGCCCTGAAGTTGGAGCAAGATGTGGTACTCCATCCACTGGCTGTGGTCTTCCTCGGCACTAAACAGCGGAAATCCACAGCTTCATATTAATTACAATAATTGACCCTTGTAACAGTTTGTCGCTCGCTCTCAAAGACAGTTGTCCTTCACCGCATCTGCGATTAACAGTGGGCTACGTACAGGCGCGAAAGAAGTTAAACATAAATCCAGAGAAAACCCACACATATGAACACCATAACACTACCCACGTAAATATGGAATTGATTTACTGTCCTGCCTTCTCCATGCAAGCCATTGTGAAGTCTTACCTGAATGACTCTCCACATCTTCACAGCCACTCGGGTGTTGGTCTTGTGGTCACGGCATTTGAAGATCTGGCTGTAAGGTCCGACCACCTTTTTCAGCACCTCATATCGGAAATGGAGATGCTCATGCTCGACCTGCGGTGCAATCACATCAACTAAGTATACTGATCCAATCACTGCTCATTCAGTCACTGAGTATGGATGCAATATATGTGTGGCATGTGTAAGAGTTAGTGTGAATGTGTAGGGTATGTTGTCCGCCTGTTCTGCAGATTATTATGGTGTTTGTCAGTGTGCAGACTTTGTGTGTTCTCCACGTGTTACGTGACCTGAGGAGAGTCGTACCGAGACATAATGGTTGTAGACATCATCGTAGCCATGGTTTTGAGTGCCAAAGCCTTTGTTATGGACTCCGAAATACCAGACGTTATTCACGTTGAGGACCTCGCTTCTCTCGGTGGGGGTCAGGAAATCCCCAAAGAGCTTCAAGATTTCTGCAAACATAAGAACAATGATTAATATTGTCCTATTATAATATTGCTTTGTCAAATAAAACATTTTCGTTTCTTTAATTTGTTCACTAAGCAATGTGGTCGTGTTTTTTTTTAATTGCATTTTTAACCAGTTCCGTATTCCTGTAACATGTGAAGAACAGACTGATAACGAATTTGGTATCACCACCTACAGTGAGGGAAAAAAAGTATTTGATCCCCTGCTGATTATGTACGTTTGCCCACTGACAAAGAAATGATCAGTCTATAATTTTAATGGTAGGTTTATTTGAACAGTGAAAGACAGAATAACAACAACAAAATCCAGAAAAACGCAGAGCCGGGCTCTGCTTGAACCGATGCCGTGAGCCCAGCAGCTGTGTAGAAGCCCGCGGCTGTGGGCCGCCTTTGTCTCTCCCCCGCCACTGCTGACGTGTCCACGCCACGTGAGGTTCTCACCTTCAGGCTGAGTGGACCTCGAGGAGGCCCAGACAGCGAACCGCTTCAGAAGTTGGCGCCACTCGCCCCGGCGGAAGCAGCAGCGGGGGAGGGTATGGGGGGGAGGGGGTATGGGGGGGGGGGTATGGGGGGGAGGGGTATGGGGGGGAGGGGGGTTGGGGGGGGAGGGGGTATGGGGTGGGAGGGGTATGGGGGGGAGGGGTATGGGGGGGGAGGGGGTATGGGGGGGAGGGGGTATGGGGGGGTGTAGGGGGGGGAGGGGGGGAGGGGGGGTATGGGGGGAGGGGGTATGGGGGCGAGGGGGTATGGGGGCGAGGGGGTATGGGGGGGAGGGGGTATGGGGGAGAGGGGGTATGGGGGGGGCGGGGGGTATGGGGGGGGCGGGGGGTATGGGGGGGGCGGGGGGTATGGGGGGGGCGGGGGGTATGGGGGGGGCGGGGGGTATGGGGGGGGCGGGGGGTATGGGGGGTATGGGGGGGGCGGGGGGTATGGGGGGGGCGGGGGGTATGGGGGGGGCGGGGGGTATGGGGGGGGCGGGGGTATGGGGGGGGCGGGGGGTATGGGGGGGGCGGGGGGTATGGGGGGGGCGGGGGGTATGGGGGGGGCGGGGGGTATGGGGGGGGCGGGGGGTATGGGGGGGGCGGGGGGTATGGGGGGGGCGGGGGGTATGGGGGGGGCGGAGTTGATAGGCGGTGACGTCACGAAGCGCGTGGTGCCCTGGCCCCGCCCCCCACTTGCCTCTGGCAGTTTGGACGAAAGGCGCGGAGAGAGCAGCAGCAGAAGCAGCAGCATCATCATCGCGTGTGGAGATCAGCCGAGAGGAGTGGATCCGAGCTGTGTATTAGTGGTGGTGTGGTAGTAGTGGTGTTAGTGGTGGTGGGGGTGTTAGTGGTGGTGGGGTGTTAGTGGTGGTGGGAGTGTTAGTGGTGGGGGTGTTAGTGGTGGTGGTTAATGGTGGGATTGTTGTTAGTGGTGGTGTTAGTGGTGGTCTGTTAAGGCTATTACGGGGGAGCTTTGTCTTTGGTGGTGTTCGTGGGGGGAGGGGGGCGTCGGGGTGGGGAAGGTACTGGGGGGGAGGGGCTTACGGGCTGTTGCGTCACGAGGGCGTGCTCACCGGGCCCCGCCCCCACTTCTGGCGATTTTTATTTGTCACAGGCGGCGACTCTGGAGGAAATGTCTCTCATGAAATTGTCTTTTCCGAGACCAAGGTTCTCTGCAAACCTCCCGGCTACCATCAAAGGTTTGTACACGAAGCCATACAAATATACAAACACAGACATAATTTCAACCGTGATGATGGGTACAAACTTAGTAATCATTGGAAAGATGTGATCAACCACGCAAAAAAGACTTAATTACACTTTTTTGGACCATCTTATCTGACAGGCACTATTTTACTTTACTTTACCGAGTGTTAACATCACCAGTGTTTAACAGTACTCTCTTCATTGTTCAGCCAGCATTGGTATAAACATGGGCATTTTCGTTCTTTTTCTATCATGTGTATCAGGCCTCCCCTCCCCCTCTCTGTCCAATGCGTTGGCGTTGTGCAACAGCAACCGCGTCCACGCCGTCGTCCATTCTTTTGGCCCCGCTCACCTCCCCCTCCCGATGCGTTGTACGTGGCACTCCGTGCCGTCTTTGAGCCCCGCCCCCCTCCCTCCCGATACGTTCCATTCATTGGCTACCACATTCTGATGAGCTCCCGCCCCCTCTCCTCCCCCCTCAACTTGCTTTTAAGGGATTACATCTTGAATCATTGCCTCACTTGATGCAGCTAATCCGGCTGTGACGGTCCCACCTGATGACGGAGACTTGTGTTGCCTCCGAAACGTCGTGATTTTTGTTTTATTTTTATTAATTTTGATGTTTTACCTACGTGACTTTACCGGAAAAAAAAACCTGTGAGTGAGTGGTGATGTGAGTGGTGAGGACGTGTGTGTGTCTGTGTAGTGTACTGGCAGGAGGAATGGTGGTGTTAGTGGTGTTACTGATAGTGGTGGTGTGTTGTGAGTGGTGACAATGTGAGTTCATGTCAGAATCAGAATACTTATACTGGAGGAGTCTGATGAGCTATACAGCTTTTTCTCACAGATGTGCAGTGTTGTGGGTGAATGGTTATGATGTAAGCTCGTGTTGATGATGTGAGTTTCTTGTTAATGATGTGGGTCCGTGTTAATGATGTGGGTTTGTGTTGATGATGTTGGTTAACGGTGAGGATGAGTCTGTGATGTGACGTGACTCGTGTTGAGACCCTGTGTGACCCTCGCCTTCGTCTCCCGCTCTCCACGCAGAGACCCGGACCGTGTGAGAGACGCCGCGAGTTCTGTGCACCCTGCACTGTACGTACCGTGTACCAGTCGGGGAGCGGGCAGTATTATTGCGGTGAACACCACGCTGCCCTCCAAGTTCGACTCCCGCTCACGGCCACCAACACTGCTGACGATTACCTCAGCCGCTCCTGGGCCTCCCCGTGTAGCCGTTGCGAGCAGCACCGATGAAGGCCGGCACGGCACGTGACACCAGTGTTGGTGGCCGTGAGCGGGAATCGAACCCTGGGTGGCAAGGTTCGTAGCGAAGCGCGCTAATCACTACACTACCGCACACACACAGACACACACAAACACACAGACACACACAGACACACAACAACTGCCATTCGCCACTAAGTGGCGGTGACGTCACCACGACGCTTGTGCCAGGCCATGTGCACCTTGAGGCCACGTGAAGTGTCGAACGCCCGCTGGCAGGAGGTCATGGGGCAGACCCAGGTGCCACGGGTCGACTGACTGAGATGGCTGCCTGATGCACCACCTGTGCCCCCTACTGTGCCAACTTGCTGTGCTTTAGCCACCCGGCACTCCGCTCGTTGTTGTGAGCGTCACTCCTCCGTCCTTCGTTGGTGTTGGAGGGCGACTGCCTTCAACTGCCCAGTAGCGTCCTTCACGAGCCTCCTCCACTGAGGCCGATCTTGACACCGCTGGTACCAGTCATCGACAAGTCCACTCAGCTACACGTCCTCCTGTACCACATCACTCCATCTTTTCTCTAGCCCGTGCTGTGCCTGTTTAGCCCCCTCGATCCGGCCGAACAAAAGCTGTTTAGGCATGCGGTGGCTGGGTATGCAGGCTACATGACCCAGCCAACGCAGCCTTGCCTGCCGGAGGAGCTCACCGATGGGACTTTGCCCAGATCTTTCAAGGATTTGTGAGCTCCTCACACAATCCAGCCTGGTTAAACCCAGGATGGATCGTAGGCAGGCCAGCCTAAATGTTTTTAACCGACGAAGATGCTCCATTAGGGTGGTCCACGTTTCGCAAGCGTAGAGAAGGGAGGGAATGACTGTGGCCGAGAAGACCTGAAAATTCGAGCGGAGTGACAGACCAGGCAGCTTCCACACAGTGTTACGCAACCGATGAAAAGATATTGCTGCTCGACTGATTCGGAGTGAGACCTCCGCTGCCAAACCGGAGCCGGCCATGAGCACACTGCCCAGGTATGGGAAACTTTCCACTCTCTCCACAACTGCCCCATCACCGATTTAGAGTTGTGGGGGTGGAGTGTCTGATGGTACAAAATACCCAGGCAGGTGCTTAATTTTGGTGGGGCTAATGGTAATGCCCCACCTCTTAGTGGCACATTCCAGTTTCAGCAGAAGCGTCTCTAACTCCTCCTCTGAATGAGCAGCAATTACCAAATCATCGGCATACATAACGTGGTTGACCAATAGGGAGCAATCCCTTGACCGCCCCCGGGCATCAATCAGTCTCCCATTATATCTGTACCAAATGGAAATTCCCCCGGTACAGCTATTGAAGGCTTCACGAACTACGTGGTCAAAATAGATGTTAAATAATGTGGGAGCCAGAGGACATCCCCATCGCACCCCAAGGTGTATAGGGAATGGCTCTGACTCCCGGCCACGTAGTTTTACCCGGGCCCACTCACCATCATGAAGGTCCTTAATGATCGTGAGCAGAGGGTCAGGGACTATGAAAGCACGAAGAACAACCCAGAGCCCAGGCCTACTGATGGTATAATAGGCCTTGACCAGATCAATAAAGCAGAGATGTAGGTCTTGTTGGAATTCCCTACACCTCTGCTGTAGCAGACAGACAGATAATATGGCATATGTGAAAGACCTCCCTTTCCTGAAACCGCATTGGGGCCCCGCAAGCCTCTCCTCAGCATGCCTAGCAAGGCGATGTTGAATAATCCTTGCCAGGACCTTTCCCGGCATACTGAGGAGTGAGATGCCCCTGTAGTTGTTACAGTCTGTGCGGTCCCCCTTCTTAAAGAGGGGGACCACCAGGGCATATTTCTAGTCCTATGGAACCCGTCCAGTGGTCCAGACTGTTGTTATGATGTCATGTAGGGCAGTTTGTGCACAAACGCCACCCTCCCTCAGCATTTTGCTTGGGAGATCATCTCTGCCCGGTGCCTTTCCTGGTCTCAGACTCTGGATCGCCTTCCGTACGTCCTCAACCAATGGCACCTCAGCCAGCCACTCACAGGGGGTGACTTACAATATTTGAGGCACCGCAGCCTCAGCAGGGTCATCCCCACTTTGTCCCACGTTGTTTTCCTGGGTAAGGGATTTCCCCTACCCTAGGACCTCACAGAAATGCTCAGAAAATCTGCAAACTTGTTCCTGGGGGTCGGAGATTGGATCACCATTCTTTCCCCTAATGATGGTAATAGGTGTGGTGCTGCAGGTTACTTTTGTCATGAAATTAAAGAGCGATTTGTTCTTGCGGGTAACTGAGGCAGACTCCTATCTCCTCAGCAACCCGTGACTTGCCCAAAGACCCATAGAATCACAGGAAGACACATTGGCAAACACAGAGACACAGACTCGCACAGAGACACAGACACCCATTGACTCACACAAATACCCATCGAAACACACAGACAATATACTTGCACTAAGACCCATAGAATCACACACAGACATTGACTCACACAGAAACCCAAAGACTCGCACAGGGACAATATACTTGCAAATAGACCCATAGAATCTCACACAGACACACAGCCTCACACAGACATCCCCAAAAATGCAAAATGCATTACGAATCATATTGACTGCCAAAACACATGTGGAAGTAGTTGAATATACAAAGTAATGCCCCACTAAACTCTTAACGGACCCAGCTCCCCCTCTAACTTAACGCGATTCCCCCGCACGCCCCTTCACTCACCAAAGTACTTGTTTCTCTCAGGCGCGTCATCAATCAAATTCTGAGGCGGCATCCCGAGGATCTACACACAATTCACACAGAGACAATGATCACCCATACAGTATTGACACACTTGTGTGGAAAGTTCTGTTTGTGAGCACCTACTGATGATGGCACAGCACCCAAGGCCACACCACAGCAACTATTTTACAAATCACTCCAGGTATTGATTTAATGCTGAGTCGATATTTGAGAGGCCAAGGACTGGTCCAACATTCAACACCACACGGTCAGGGTGCTAACCACTCGGCTACCGCTCCCGATGGTTCTCGCATGCAGGCACGGGGCAGTGTTATTGGCATGGCCCAGCAAAACCGCGAACGCCGCACGTTGCAGAAGTTCACGGATCAATCCCAGTGACTGCCCTGGTCTTTACTGCGGTATTAAACCACAAAATACTATGCACCATCTGCCTCATTCACAGCGGAGGTAATGGGTCCCGTGGCGTCATTTGAAATTGCTTATATGGTTGTGAGAATTTTCTTCATTACAAGCAGTTGAGATGAAACAACAATAATTGGCGCAATAAATGCTCGTTCATCTGACAATTCAAATTATTTGCAGGTGGTGTAGGGTTACATTTGGCCAATCCGTGGCCTCATGCAATAATCTATCACGAGTCATAACACCAGCTCTAAAAATCTATGCGTTCCGCTCACAGTTACCTTGACAGGTCTACGCCTGAGTAATTGGTTCTGTCATGCGGTTGTATCCAACTCAGTAGCTTGTGTGTGGACAACCATGCAACCAGTCGCGAGCAGTCGTACGCCTCTTTCTCACAGAAGAGACGACTCAAGTGGTCTGCTCAGGGAATTGTAAGGAAGTATTTCCTGTCGCATGTTCAATTGGTCATACCAATTCTGAATATTATTTTAATACCCTTGATGCGGAAATACTCGATGAGAAGTGAAAAACATGGTTAGAAGCAATGACTGAGTTGCGCGATTTCAAGAGCAAATTGGTCATGAAATTGATCACTCAATAACGGAATTGTCAGTGTTACTGCTGTGTGGGCAATACCTCCATATAACACGGGAGCTGGTCGTGTTTGTTGATGGCCGGAAAGAGGATGCGCCCGGTAGCCAACTCGGCCACTGTACACCCCAGCCCCCACATGTCAACCGGGAAAGATGACATGTGGCCCAGGTATGCCTCTGGGGCAAGGTACGCAGGGGAACCAAAAATATGTGAACCTGTGAATTACAAAATACAAACATAACCAATATAACCTTTAACAGCAACACAGGCACGAAAAAACATGTATACAAACACATGTACTCACCCATAGGTCTAGAACCATGCACACACAGGTGAAGAGACGCAAACACGTGTTGCACACACACAAAACGTCCCCATATAGCCTTTAACAAATTTATCTGGCATTTGCTTTTAGCGAGCACCTAATGAAGGCCTGAACAACACACACGAAGATGGGTGGCCAGCACCACGCCCAGCCACCTTTGTCTTCTAAACTGGTGGTGCCTAGACACCGCACATGGTACTCATTTATGGCTGAGTCAACCTAGGGGAGGCCCAGGACTGGTTCAGATATTCATGAACGCAAATTTTACTAGTCACCAGGATTGTAGTGCTGTCGACTAACCCCAACACTACGGTTCCTCACTGCATAAACAAAGAAAAGTTCCCCCGTGTAGCCTTAGACATTGTTGGGGCAGGTGCAATTAGTGACCACCTATGAAGTCCAAAACGACACATGAGGGGGGTGGGTGGCCTGCACCATGCCTTTGTCTCCTGAGTGGCATTGTTTACACACCACACCAGGTACTCATTTGAGACTGAGTCTACCTAGGGGAGGCTCACAACCAGTTCAGAAAATCGCCACTCTCACCTGGGTCACCAGTTTCGTAATGCAGTGTGCTAACCACTACACTACCGCTCCTTGAACTGCATACACACACATTCTCATACTCAGCCACACACTCACGACTCACGTTGGCGTCCCACCAAAAAGCTGTTTTCAAAACTCATCATCCGGATGGTCCCTGCCCCAGGCTCTTTAATCGACATGTTCCTCTAGACGATAGGCAGCAGAAGATATTCACATTCAGAGGTCATGATAAATAATGTCAACTTGTTATACGCCAATGCCATGCAGTATTCACTCTATCTGGAAGAGAGAGAACCACTCCGAGGCACGAGGCGGGGCCACAGATGATGTTTCACACCATTGGTGTGATCCACCAACCTGCGGCTCTACAGTGCTGGATTACAGGCATGCACAACTATTCAGCCTGCAGCAGATTGGTCATGTAGCAAAATACCACAATAAATATTAAAAGGGGAATCTGAGATGACACGCTTTTGCCAAGGTTATTCATCGCAACTCAAGAGAATGTTTTCTGACGGATGCCACTGGGGTGCCCTTTCAAATGTATTTAGATGAGATTATTCCAATCTCTAATCTCATATAGAGCACTCTGGGGTGCCCGGCGTAAAGGAGGGCGCTCTTATCATACCTGTATGACGATTGTTACAAGAGGGCCGAACGGAGCTTGTAGCTGTGAGTGTTAGTTAGGCAGAAGCATGCACATGCATGAAGTTGGTAACGCATTCTCATGCGCATGAGCAGCATGGAAACAGGTGGGCAGCTGTCAGGTTAAAGCACAGTTGTTTAATTTCAAAGCGTCCTTTTACTTGCACTGGATTGTGTCTCCATGATTTGGACAATGCTTTGTTTCGACATGTCTGCTTTTCTCTAGTGCGAGTCCCTAATAGCAACAAAACTTTAAACTCAAGTTTCACCCATATATAACCCTCTGTACGACAGTTATCATGACCCGCAGCTACTGCCAGTTGGACAGAGCAGATGCATTAACGCTTTGATCAATGGGTATAGGTTCTACGAAGACGAGCCCCGAACGGGAACTCAAATTAATGTTGCAGTTGTGCGGAACCTGGTGTCCACTCACCGGCTGGATATCCCCATGCACGATTCCCTTTGCATGGAGATGAATGAGGAATTTGAGGATGGACTTGGTGAAGAGTTTCACCATTGTCATCTCAATGTGCTGGGGTGCCGTGCAATCAATGGCACTTAACAGACGTCTTCTGTTAAGGAGACAACAACACAAAGTCAGTGCCATCCTTTAAAGGGCTGAGTAAGCAATAAAAATTATCAACAATTATTATACTCGTTTATCCATGGAAGCCTCACTAAATGTAAACACTTTTTTCCTGAGGGGGTGACTTACAATATTTGAGGCACCGCAGCCTCAGCAGGGTCATCCCCACTTTGTCCCACGTTGTTTTCCTGGGTAAGGGATTTCCCCTACCCTAGGACCTCACAGAAATGCTCAGAAAATCTGCAAACTTGTTCCTGGGGGTCGGAGATTGGATCACCATTCTTTCCCCTAATGATGGTAATAGGTGTGGTGCTGCAGGTTACTTTTGTCATGAAATTAAAGAGCGATTTGTTCTTGCGGGTAACTGAGGCAGACTCCTATCTCCTCAGCAACCCGTGACCACCACCCATCCTTGCAGCGCCTCACGGCTCTCCGAACCTCCGAGCGAAGGCTGCGGTAAGCCTCCTCATTCTCTGATGTGGGATGCTGTAGACGATTAGAGTGGGCCTTTCGCTTTTTCTCAACCATCCTGAACACCTCCTCTGTCATCCAGGGTCTTTGGGGAGGTCTGGACCACGTTCCCAAAGCAGCCATTGCAGCTGCATGAGTCACAGTCCTAAACCTTGCCCATTTACTCTCGACATCAGGAGTGGGGGACGATGCCTACCCCAGCCGCAAGTGTTGATGAAATTCCCGCTTGCAACTTTCATAAGCTAACTGAGACCAGGCCACCTTAGGTTGGAATGGGGTCTTGGGTGTACATCCACCACCGGAGTGGAAGAATGGCAGGCGCATCTTACAGATGACTAGTCAGTCGATGGTCAGAGGGCAGATCAGCTCCACGGTAGGTCCTGGTGTCAAGGACATGGGCTCGCATCCACTGATCCGTCACTATGTAGTCCAGCAGATGTTCTTGCTTGGATCCAGCATGCATCCGTGATGTTGTGTTGATGCGCCGATGCCGGAACAGCGTGTTGGTAATTACAAGATCATTGGCTGCACAAAAATCTAGCAGCCTCCTACCGTTGTTATTGAACTGATCTGGCCCATGCCTTTCAATCACTACAGACCAGGTGCAGACACACAACAACAACTGCCATTCGCCACTAAGTGGCGGTGACGTCACCACGACGCTTGTGCCAGGCCATGTGCACCTTGAGGCCACGTGAAGTGTCGAACGCCCGCTGGCAGGAGGTCACGGGGCAGACCCAGGTGCCACGGGTTGACTGACTGAGATGACCGAGATGACTGGCTAATGCACCACCTGTGCCCCCTACTGTACTAACTTGCTGTGCTTTAGCCACACGGTGCTCCGCTCGTTGTTGTGAGCGTCGCTCCTCCGCCCTCCGTTGTTGTTGGAGGGCGACTGCCTTCAACTGCCCAGTAGCGTCCTTCACGAGCCTCCTCTACAGAGGCCGATCTTGACACTGCTGGTACCAGTCATCGGCAAGTCCACTCAGCTCCACGTCCTCCTGTACCACATCACCCTATCTCTTCTCTAGCCCGTGCTGTGCCCGTTTAGCCCCCTCAATCCGGCCAAACAAAAGCTGTTTAGGCATGCGGTGGCTGGGCATGCGGGCTACATGACCCAGCCAACGCAGCCTTGCCTGCCGGAGGAGCTCACCAATGGGACTTTACCCATATCTTTCAAGGATTTGTGAGCTCCTCACACAATCCAGCCTGGTTAAACCCAGGATGGATCGTAGGCAGGCCAGCCTAAATGTTTCCAACCAGCAAAGATGCTCCATTAGGGGGGTCCACGTTTCGCAAGCGTAGAGAAGGGAGGGAATGACTGTGGCCGAGAAAACCTGAAGCTTCGTGCGGAGCGACAGACCAGGTAGCTTCCACACAGCATTACGCAACCGATGAAAAGATATTGCCACTTGACTGATTCGGAGTGAGACCTCTGCTGTTACACTGGAGCCGGTCATAAGCATACTGCCCAGGTGTGGGAAACTCTCCACTCTCTCCACTACTGCCCCATCACTGTCCGGCAAAACAACCCCCTACCTCCTCGCGGTGCCGGATGGGCAACACTGTCGTGGACAGTGCTGTGGGGGGAGAGCCAATGCCCATGGGCCTCTCCCCTCATGGCGTCTGTGACCACCACAGTGGCTAAACGGGGGCTCTGGACGGGTGCGAGGGGCTGGTAACCCCTCCACCTTCAATTTATTACCACGAAACTACGAATTAAACATAAATATGTAACTAATAAGCTTGTGCCGGAGGCCCCGGGGGGACAGGCGTCTATAACATCTCCTGGCCAAACCCCAATTGGCGGAGCCAGGAGATTAAATCTTCACCCTCGGGGCTCCTCCAAAAGCAACGAAAGCCACTATGGATGGCCACGTGGAATGTTCGAACGCTCACTGCGGAGGAGAGGCTGCCACTCCTTTGTCAGGAGCTGGATCGGTACTGCACACACACACACAGACATACAGACACACAGATGAGACACAACATACATCCGTCCTCGGGCCGTGACGTCATATCCGCTTCCGCCCAGTGTGCCGCTGGAGCCACGCTGCGAGCTGCGTGCTGAGGAGCGCCTCTCTGCACGAAGCCTCCTGGAGCCTCTCCCGGAGCAGTCACCATGGAGGCTCATGGGCTGCGCAGTACCTCACGCACCCTCGTGGCGCTGCTCGTGACGAGCTACGCGTTCCTCACGTCTGGGCCCACGGAGGAGAAGAATTTCTCCCCGAACTGGCTGGTTAACCTGGGGGGAGCCTGGGAGGTCCAACCGCCACAGGCCGGGCAGCCTCTACCTCTCGCCAAAGCGACCGTGGCTGTCCACATCAGCGACCGGCTCGCAGATCACGAAGCCAAGAGGGAGCCTCGAGTCGCTTCCTCTCCCAGCCATGGCGTGGAGGTTCCCCAAGGAGGAGGAGGAGAAGACGACGACCCAGCTCCCTTAGGGTGGAAGACCTTCATGGAGATGCTGCACAGCAGGCCGGTGGCCATCGCCTACGAGGTGGCGAGTGCAGGGATCGCCCTCCTCAGCCTCGGAGTGTGGCTGAAGAATGCAGTGGTGAGTGTGTGGTGCCACAGCGACGGGGCCGCTCTGCCGAGCCAGGGAGCCGCCCGGCTTCCCCCACCGCACTGCCCCCCATCACCCGCCCCACATAAGCACACACCCGCACGCATCCCCCCCCCCCATAGAGCTGGAAGGGAAGGTTACCTGATCGACCGGTTTTTATCCGAGAGACCCTTATCGGGATTAATTCTCACGGTTTCCGGAGATCAGGGAATTGGATGACCTCCCCCATGCTACGTGGTACCGCGGCGCTGCTGCCGGCCTTAATATGGTGTGGTCGCGGCGTGGGGCATTCGGCCACCGCGGTTGAGGCGCATTTCCCCCCACACACACCCCCACGAGTCGACGGGGCAAGCAGGGGAGGCATGAGACAGCATGAATAGCGGGGTCACAGGGGCTGTTGCGCATAGTCATGGAGGGTTTGGATAATTGCGCTTGAGCGCGCAGGCCCCATTGTTAGGAAGGGTAAGGGAGTAATTAGGATGTACGCCGCCAACGTCGCGCACTGATTAGCATATCAACAGCGCCCGGGAACCGCCGTGCGCGGGCTTGGGGTGCACGAGCCCATTGTTCAGCGCAGCATCCCCTTTGAGGTAGGGAGGATAAATAGAGGAGCGGAGAGGGGAAATCGCCCCTTCTCTCCAGGCCAGCGGACCAGCAGGAGTTCCAGCCAGCGACCCGGACGTCCGTGCGACGCATCGAGGTACGCTGTTAGCGCAGAGAGCAGCGAACCTCCGCGGGCACCAAACAGTGAGTGGGGAGGTGAAGTAGGGTATCGTAAGCCGATAAATAGGGAATAGGTACAGGTTTAGTGGAATAGGCCAGCCTCGTCGACTCACTGATTCCACATCAATTCGCAGGTGGCATATAATAAATCATTAATAGCGAAGCGTGGTCTCGCGTGATCTTGTCGTGCAGTGTGAGCGTGTGGGTGCGCTGTGTGCACAGTGGTTCGCCACGTGAGTGAGCGCTGCGCGGAGCTGAGCGCGCGGGTTGCGCGTGGGTACGCAGTGATTCTGTGGTGCTGCGGCTCGCCTCGGGGGAGCGCTGCGCAGAGCGGTGCGAGAGTGGGTGTCGCGTGTGTTCACTCCGTGTGTGATACAGGTGCGCGAGTATAACGTGAGTTGAGTTGGAGTGCGTGGAGCGGCGTGTGTGTGGGCGTGCGTGCGTAATCGGCGTCCCCCAGGTGCGCGCTCATAACGTGAGCGGCCAGCAGGCGGCGAGCGCTGCGCAGAGCGGCGCAAGAGTGGGTATCGCGTGTGGAGCTGTATGCGTGTGTGCGCGCACGTTCACTACGTGTATAATACGGATGCGCATTGGGAACGTGCCGCACAGGGCTATACTGCGAGCACGGCGTTTGATCGACGATGATGTGCGCACGTATGCTCGCAGCGTGGGAGCGCGGCGCGAGGCTGTAACCGTAGGGGCGTCGCGTTCGAATGCCGGCGAAACCGTAGCGGGTAATAGGGAGGTGGGGTAACGTAAACGAATAGGGGATGCAGGCGGGAGGGACCCCGGGGGCCGACGGGACCCCGGGGGCCGACGGCCCCCACAAATTGGTGTCAGAAGCGGTACGGACCCCCGCGTTACCTCACGCTAAAATAAGACTAATATTTACCGGCCGGGGGGCCCCTTCGTGGAAGGCATTCGCCCGCAATCTCTTAGGGGCCAAGGAAATTAATGGATGGACGGACGCGCAGGCAGTACGTCAACTTAATATGAATCTTGATGGGCGGGCAGCCGATTTTGTAGAAGCGTTACCCGCGAGCGCACAGACACAGCTAGAGGAGCTGATGCGCCGACTCGATCAGCGTTTTGGCACGCGTGACGAGGAGGAAGCAAAATCGGCCTTAGAGGCGCGCCGGCGCCAACCTGGCGAAGATCTACGTGATTACGCCGAGGATGTGCGCGAGTTAACAAAGATCGCACGCCCGGGGTACGCAACTGATGTTATTGAGGAACTGGCCGCCGAGAAAATCCAGCGGTACCTGTCTCGCACGGCGTGTTGGCAGCCAGACATGAGCTGCCCACGTCTTCCCTTTAACACCCTTGTCGAGCGCGCACGTAAGTGTGAAAGAATTCACAGCGAACGCGCGCAGCTCCGGGGGCTGGGACGAGAGCACGCCATTGCGAGCCTGCTCTCGGAAGACGAGGAGGAGGAACAGGAGCTCGCGAGGACGGTAAGGGGCCGGGAAAGAGAGCCTCCAGTGTCCCGCGAGACAACCCCGGGATGGGTTGCCGGTATACAAACGGGTATAAAGGATGTCTCCGGCCAGGTAACCCAGGTACGCGAGGAAACGAATAAAAATATGACCCAACTGCAATCCTCCGTTGAGACCATCCGATCCGAGATGGGGGAACTAGACTCCACGGTAGGAGGGCTAACTGGAAGGATAGCGCGACTAGAAGCAGAGTATGAGCAGCAGCGCACTGGGGGAGGAGGGAGTGGGCAGCGAGCCCATTACGGAGCCGCCACCCCTCCCCGGGCATGTTATATGTGCGATCGCCGAGGGCATCTAGTGAGGGACTGTCCTCAGGTCGCCCGAGCTAGACAAGAGCTAAGGTCAAACACTAAGGCCCCCCTAGAGAGGGGACCACCGGGGGGCGAAATCGACGTAGCCCCGACACAAACAAGCTGTGAGAATAATGGCGAGCGAGTGATCTCCACACAGGTTCCAGCAACAACGCCCACAGAAACGGTGACTCCTGGCGACTGGCTGCGGGAGCTGGTGGCGGGGATCACGGGGGCCACGTCGCTGGTGGAAGGGGAGGTAAACGGAGTGCGTACCCGAATCCTGCTGGACACGGGGGCGGTGGCCTCGCTCGTGAGCGCAGCGCACTGCAGCGCGATCGGGGTCGACGTGCGTCACCTGCAGGTACCGGACCGCGCGCTGCACACGGCGAGCGGAGCCGGAATGGGGCTGCTGGGGAGAGCCACCCTAGAGGTCCGCATAGGCAGCCAGGTGTGCACGCAGGAGTTCTACGTGTCGAGTGCGTTGTGTCACGAGTGTATCGCAGGCACCGACCTCCTAGAACGGTTGGGACTCAACGTGCAACCCCGCCAGCGATGCGCCACCATGGAGAGCAACGGCGAGCGGATACCGTTCCTGGGACGAGAACCAACGCGCCGCCGCTTTGCACCTGTGGCCGCTATCCTGGCGACGGCAGTCACCATCGGCCCGCTCACCGAGATGCTGGTGCCGGTGGCAACATCCCCCACCGACCCCGCGCTCCGACCATCAGGGGAGGTAATGCTAACTCCTCACCCGGAGTTGGCAAAACGGTATGGGATAGTGGGATCCGCCACGTTGGTAAACGCAGATGGGGACCGATTGTTTATGCGGATGTTTAACCCCCACAATACCCCAGCGATACTGCGACGGCGCACCCCGATAGCCACAGTACACCCCCTGCACGCACGCCACTCTAACGACTCGGTGTTCGCACTCTGGGCTGAGGACCCCGGTCGTCCTGAGGGTGAGCAGGGCCTGGCCTGGCGAGTCGGCCCGACTCCCCGAGCCGAGGTCGTTCCCCTGCTCGACGCGTTACATGTACCATGGGCGGACTTACCTAAGGGAGGGGCCGATCGGCTGCGCGAGTTACTGCGGGAGTATGCCGACGTGTTCAGCGAACACGACTCGGACGTGGGTCGGACCGACCTGGTTAAGCATAAAATTGACACCGGTGCAGCCCGACCCATCAAACTCCCTGCGTACCGTGTGGGCGCACCCGAACGCGCCCAAATCAAAGAGGCAGTTGGGGACATGCTTCGCGATAACATAATTCAGCCCTCGGCGAGTCCCTGGTCAGCCCCGGTGGTACTAGTAACGAAAAAGGATGGGTCAACCCGGTTCTGCGTCGATTACCGTAAACTAAATGCAGTCACGCTCGGCGATGCCTTCCCCATACCTCGCATCGACGACACCTTCGACAGTCTCGCAGGAGCGCGGTATTTTTCCACCCTCGATCTGGCGTCCGGTTACTGGCAGGTGGAGATGACGGAGGAGGATCGGCCAAAAACAGCATTCACCACCCCGATGGGCCTGTTTGAGTTTCGAGTGTTGCCGTTCGGACTCACTAACGTGCCCGCGACGTTCCAGCGGTTGATGGAGTTGGTGATGCGGGGCTTGCAGTGGGAACAGTGCCTGATTTACTTGGACGATGTGATAGTGTTCAGTAGATCTTTGTCTGAGCATTGGTCCAGGCTTCGAGAGGTGTTCCAGCGACTGCGAGCGGCTCATCTCAAGCTCAAGCCACGTAAGTGTTACATCGCACAACGCGAGGTGGGGTACCTCGGGCATCGCGTCAGCGAGGCAGGCGTGCACACCGATCCGGAGAAGGTACGCGCCGTAGTGGAGTGGCCACGGCCAAGGAATCTGACGGAGATCAGATCATTTTTGGGGCTCGCCACCTATTATCGTCGATTTGTAAAGGGATTCAGCGAGATTGCACGCCCCCTCACCCAACTCACCTCCCCTAAGCACCCCTATCAGTGGACGGGGGCCTGCCAGACGGCCTTCACCACTCTCAAAGATCACCTCACCCACGCCCCCACCCTCGCTTTCCCCGATTTTACCACCGATTTTATTTTGGACACCGACGCCTGCAGCAGCGGGCTGGGCGCGGTGTTGTCACAGGTACAGGATGGGACGGAACGAGTCATCGCGTACGCCAGCCGGACCTTGAGTGGGGCCGAGCTGAACTATTGCGTGACCCGCCAAGAGTTGTACGCCGTGATTTTCGCATGCAAACAGTTCCGGCCGTATTTGTACGGCAGGAGATGTCGCGTACGCACTGACCATTATGCTCTGCAGTTTCTTCTTACATTCAAGGAGCCGCGGGGGCAGATGGCCCGGTGGTTGGCGCAGTTGCAGGAGTACAACCTGCAAATCGAGTATCGGGCTGGCCGGACGCATGCAAACGCGGACGCCTTGTCGAGGCGACCCACGGTGTACGCCGAGACGAGGGCGGAGGAGGCCTGCCCGTGTTTCACG